AACGACCTGCAGTGCGAACCGGTGGCCGATCCAGAAACGCAGATCATAGATTCACTCTGCTGCAGTCTGCGACTGAGACCCAATGACACTTGACTTTTGGCCGTTGTTTACTGTCCTCCAATGTCCATCTTAGAGATGGACTAGCGCCTGACATTATCTTTGGGAAGGGGCTTAGGAGGACGATACAGCCAGGTTCTCATCTCAGGTGACTTCAATCTTCATGATTTGAAAGTTACGGCATTCCCCCAACGCGCAGTTTAAGGCCGACTTGCAAGAGTATGTTACAAGCATTCCGCTCCTCAACCCCGTCAGTTCACCCACCCGATTCAGAGCCGGAAATAAACCATCCGTGCTTCATTTATTGCTCATGAAACAAGAGCTGATGGTTGAGAAACCAAGGCCCTCTGTGGCGGAATGATTGAGTAACCATAATTGACGGCTTCGTGTGTTATCCGGAGTATCCACAAGAACATACTAACTTGTTTCGAACAGTCACCCACTACGACATACCGGCAGAACTTGTGGGAGTTGCCAGCTGGGAGTTTCCACGCGACTGTTCCATTGACAGTGCTTTGTTGGATTTCACTGGCAAGTTCGGTGATCTGATTAAATCTGCATCGGTCACCAAGCCACTTCGTTCTGCAAAGGCACAATAATTCATTCGGAGTAGAATCCGAACACACATGATATTAAGAGACGCTTCGTGGTATGTGTATAGGGCGAACCCCAAGCCTGACAACTGGAATAAGTATGTTGTGCATCGTAATCACTGTACAACACTTGTGCACGAGGACAATATAGTACACCAGCGGTCTAGTGGAAAAGATTTGTGCTAACAAAAGGCCGCTGTAGAGAAATGTGAACAACCTCCGGAATGTGAAACGTGGTGTTCATTCACTAATCTCAGTGGATCGATGTGCCCAATCCACTGAGGATGCAGCTAACGTTCTACGGCTACAATATGCTTTAAGTTTCCGACGTGGAACCAGCATTTGTAACATACCTGTCACATTATCCCAGATGCCAGTGTGTACATATATCACATTCAGTTCAGCGAGCATTTTGAGGAAGCTGCTATCGTTGCGTACCCATAGTTCCCCCGGAGTTGACAACATTCCCCTGGAAGCGCTTCAGGTTGTTGCGGGCCCGTCAAATATCCCCCGCAAAAACGCGCCAGAAACTCCGGCATAATGGCTGTGGAAAGCGAGGTCCAATTCCTCCCCACAACGTAGCAGGGTCCAGCCACTCCGAGACGCGGCCCAACTGCGCATATGTTGACAATGTTTTTTACACACTACCACCCCGTCGTGGTAGCAATGTTCCCATTACATTTGCTGTGATTCGAACTTTGTTGGTCGTAAAAGAACCTTCAGAGGACCGTCTGTCTTGCTCTCTCTTCGCCTTAGTTTGGAGTCGGTCGGTCACGTGAGTGTGTGTGCATCATTAGCCGGGCAGCGTTCGCGACTAAATCACTAGTGCGCGTCTATCGTAACCCCCTCTCGTGTGCGTCCGTTACGAGGGCTCAGCGTCTACCCGGTTAAGATCGTTCTCACGCTCGCTCAACTTTCGTCTCACCAGCGCGTACCCTGGGCGAAGCTAACGCCATCAGGTCAAGGCAAATCTGTTCGATTGGCCAGCGTTCCAAGCCGTTACCGTAGGCTTGCTCCAACAGTACCAGTGACTATCTTATCAGGAGTTCCCTCAATCGTAACATAGGTGGCAGCTACGAATATAGCTGAACCAATAACGAGAATTCTCCAAATACGCTTGGACGAACAGCTGGACCTTACCAACTGGAAGCAAGGCATCATTATCCCGATTTTCAAAAGTTGTAGCTGTTCATAGCTAACCAGCTATCGCTAAGTGTTTCTCGTCCCGGTGCTCTTAAAGATGATGAAATCGATCATAGCTGAGGCTGTAATGGTCTACTTCGAAAGGTCTAACATCATAGCACTTGAGCAACGCGGATTCCGTCAGCATCGGTCATGTACTACCAACCTACTGCTTGCCCGTGGCTGTTGGACCGAGATAGTCGACAGCGGGACTGGCATTGATGTCATCTACCTAGACATTTCCAAAGAATTCAACCGCATAGATCACCACATCCTTCTGCAAAAGCTGCAAGCATACGGATTCAGAAACCCTCTCCATGGATGGATCGGAAACTTCCTATTTCAGCGGCGCCTTCAAGTTCGAGTTCGAGGTCCCTTTTCTGATCTAACTGGTGTGGACTGCGGCGTTCCACAGGGGTCGGTGTTGGGGCCGAGGTTGTGCTTGTTCTTCAAGAACGATCTTGCGAGTGTCAGCAAGCCCAATTTTTGCTTGTTACCGATGACATCAAGATATGGCGGGCAATCAATCGTCAGGATTACCACGATATGTTGCATCGAAACTTAGATCACGCTTTGCATTTTTCGTTTAACACGGACAATTGCAAAACCGTGCGTGTCCGCCACATGCCCACGTACGCATAGAAGCTTGGAGACGACATGCTGAAAACCGCCTCACTAGATCTTGGGGTGGTGATCCCAGACAAACATAGCTGTTTGGCGCAGCACTTGAAGGCGTTCAAAACTACAAACCAACACTTTGATCTGGTACGGATGGCGTTTGGGAGGCTCGATCCCTCCATCTTCCCCCAAATGCTCAATACGTATGTGGGGCCCATGAAGAGTAAACGATGCAGGCTTGACAACCCTGGTTACATTGTGACCTGGTTGCATTGGAGACTGCCAAGCGATGGGCAACGAAAAATGTGATGGGGTTGTCCCACCTGCAATAATATAGGCGATTGAAAGCCTTGGGAGTGTACAGCGGAAGGTATTGCCGTTTACGGGGTGACCCCGTCATAGGGTTCCAGATTTTGGAAAACCCCGGTCATGCTTAACGTCACCTCCTGCAGCTTAGTTGCAAGACAGAATAGAGGGGTTATAAATTGAAATTTGCCAGTTAACTACCGTCGGCTTAAGTGCCGCTGTAATAATTGTTCCCTTCGTGCTTGTCAACCGTGAAACGCTCTTCCGACTTGTGTCATTTCCGAGCCTAAACTACCCGTTTTTAAACAAAGGACGACAATGTTTTGCGCCATTTACATTACTTGATCTGATTTCTATTCATTGAGTAACGACAAGACGCAGACAAACATTGCGCTCACCAACCCCACGAAATCCGGGTAGACGGATATACTTATGTTTTGACGTAGATATTATGGTGAGTCCAGTGATGTGTATTTTAATTTTGTGTAGGTTTATTGAACTAACCTTTTTCCCACAAACCATCCTACGGGACTTGTCAAGCCTTGGCTTTTTTATCTGTATTCTACCATGGTTCCATTTCCCAATTGTTCCATTTGCGACCACGGTTAACTGCGGGAGAGCTTTGCAATTCCTTCAACCTCTCACCATGAGTCACCTGACTCGAGTCACATAACTATGAACACGCAAGAGGCATTTTTGCCTTATCAAAGTCACTGGAAATATGTGGTGTCCACAATATACGCCAATGTAACGGAGCTTATAACCTGTACAGCTGCTTCCGTGGTTAAGTTCTGTCAGAGGAAAATCATCGGTCTATCCACGAAATCCGACAACGAGGTTTCTGAATCTCGGCTTTCCTATTATCCAAACAGTGAATGCCTGGTACCAGCGGAAGGGCTTCAGAGGGGAGGAAACACATAAATACTGCGCTGCTTCAAGGTCCAGGCAAGTGTAAAGAAGTATGTAGGTCAGATGAGCCGTACTGGTCATCTCAAGCTTCTTTGGCATAGATCATTGATGCCGTTGCACGAGCGCTTAATAATGGTCGCGACGAGAGCGCAGAACTGGATCCTTTGGTGAATCAGTGATGTGATTAGGTCAGTTGCTCCAGCGATAAACTGCTCCATGTATATGAGTCCATCCAACATGCTATGATGGGATAAAGATACTTCAACTCGTGGAAACTAAGTTTAGTTTGCATTTCCTCGCACCAGAATGCACTGTGTATCAGCAAGCGAGTGTATAATGTTATGACCATAGAAATAACACAGCATAACTCAAAGGTGTTTGAGTCACTCGTCTTAAACAAACAGGAATGTTTGTTGCGTTCCAACTGAAGTGTCGATAGGCGTAAAAACCACGCCAATGGCAGAGATAGTGACTACTTCTCTAACGCGCAACGACGCTATTTTCACCTTACTGTCAAATATATGTATTCCGGTCCGGTTGCTCCGCTCTCCGTTCGACAGCTTTGTGTCACCTTCAGCATATTTCACACTAAGTTGACAGTCGTCTCTCAGCAGATGATTAGCTGTTGCCCGAACAGATGCGAAGGGCGACATAGTCCGCTGGTGCCGGCTGCCTCCCAGCCTAACGTTGCGTGCTCAAAATGGGACATTCAAGAGAGCTGATGAGTGACAGTAGGTCATGCTGCGCTGACACATAAGCCCTCCAGTAAGGGAATTGTAGAGCGCTGTGAATGAATTCACGGACATGCCATAAATAGAATACGACCGATAAGATGAACTCGAGTGCATCTACAGGGTTACGAAGCAATCACAGATAGCCTCGGCTTGTGGTAATAGCTGATGTGGTTAGTGAGGGCGTAAGGCCTTCTTCATATGCAACATAACACAAGCATCCATCTAATGAGTTTATCTGAAGTAAAGTGAGCCAGTGTTTATCCGTGGTGAGGCTATTCATAGATATCATCGATTAGTTACCGGTACGTTCTCCGGCCGCTTGTTCATTGCCATCCGGATAGGCGTCACGTTTGGCGAGAAATATTAGGCACAAATAGGTCCTTTCTACAACAGAGATCCACAGTTGCAAGAAGGCAGCTGGTTAGCTTGGTAAATTACTCACTCAGACGCGTAAGGTGGAAGCCGGACAGTGACTGCGAGCAGACAGCTCTGACTGTGCGGTTGAGAACTAATCCGAAAACCGCACCTTCATACAAAACATAAAGCTCAGAGCATGGTACTACTACTCATCTACGCGGTTAAATCAAAACACTAATCTTACCTGATAAATGAAGTGATAGACGAAAGCCTGAGGCCCTGACACCCGTGTAGGGCTACTTAGAGTAAAGCACCGATCCAATGCATGGCTGTGAGGCTCCGAGAGGTCAACAAACACATCGGGTACGGAGTGATTGTCTGCGAACGATCTCGCTTTTGATAACGTCAGGTTGGACCAGGAGGGATCGAGCCACGGGAGTAGTGAGGTGATAGATGTCACAGATTCAGAGGACGCATTTTCACCGGTGGGAGCTCCGGATGCGCGCAATGATTCATCATCACCAGACACTTGCCTGTTCTTGTAGTGTGGAGGATACTCAAAAGATGAGGTGCCTTCTGGTGGGCTTGATAAAGGACAACCTAAGGGGGAGGGAGGAGAGATGAAAAGCTAGCATGTGCGGAAGCTGCGGTGGCAATTGTGGTGCAAGGCTTCTGCAGTTGGGCTACAGATAGATAGCCGGGAAAGTAGTGCCGCTTAAAACGCAGCCACGGTATACCGATATTTTTACTGATAAAATGATAAAGCTTAGCAAGTCTTGTAGGATGCCCTTGATGAGAATAGTATGCACATAGGTGAGTGCTGCCAATAAAAGTGGAAGTGTGGATGAAACCTTTCGAGGGACTAGGCCACATTGTAGTGGGTCCCCAGGAGATGATTTCACAGATGGATGTAGTAATGCAACTGAATATTGGGCGGTCTACACTTATACTTACTATCAACGTTTCGACCTTTCTACTACATTTAACTGATCGACAACTATGAAAAGACGTTTCGAAACTCGTTAGAACAAATGGAACAGTTATATGCCTTATGTGGTTCCGTTGGATGAGTAAACCAGACCATTTAATGAACTCTATCTAGCGCCGTCAATCAGATTTCCTATCACTGGACTCATCAAGATTTCCCCTGGATGCAAACTTAAATTCATCTACCATATTTTATGGAAGGGGCGATGAGCACAATGTTTTTTGCATCAACTCCTCTCTTAAGCAACACCGGTTATACCATGTAATGTGAATAGTATAGTGCTGTTCAAAAGTTGCTTTAATATGCACAAAACCTGATCGCGGAAATAGTATCTGATGAAAGAACCCTCCATAATTATCCAAGTCGGAAGTAGAAGGATTTCCGGTAGCATTCAAACTGCTACACAGCGCGGCCATCTTCATTTGGTGATCCCTCAGTTTGGTGCTGTGCCTAAGTTTCAGGATGTTGTGACAAAGGATATTGAGGTCTTTAATCCTTTTGCACATCGACATGAGGTCAATCGCCGATAAAAATGTAGTCGGCTGTACACACTTGGGCTTTGTATAGCAGACTAAGCAAACCGTGAGACTGTTTCTTACTGCTCACCTTAAGGTGTCGATTGTAACGACACCATGTCACTGCCGGGACCACCAAGAAAGGATGATGTACACCAGATGGATTTTCACCTGGGTGTTGTCTAAATATTAAAACATTAGAGGCTCGAACACCCCGAAGACACTCGCAAGGGAAGCACTCGGCCGCGTCCTTAAACTCCGTTCAAGCTTCTTCCCGGTAGCTTCGTTGTGGGGTAACGGAAACGAAATTTTCTAAGTATTACCACAGGGAAGCCGGCTTCGTTTCCGTTAACCGTTCTCAATCTATTCTTCCCGACAACTTTGTTGGTACGGAGCTGATATTACATGTCATTTGCGGATATTTTTAGGGAACACTTGCAATTCTTAAATGCAATGTTGCTTGTTATTGGTGTATGTGGCATATAGGATGCACTAAAACACGTCCCGGTACCGTGTCCGAAGGGGCACGGGGTCTGCCTTGCAACTCGCATGTCGTGGGTTCGAACCTGCATAGTGGACTTGGTAACGCTCGCAGTATCCTTAAAACTCGCGTAACTAGTAGTGATTGCGTAGCAGCAAAGCATCGGTACTGGGTTCCGGCGTACTGCCGGCGTATTAACACACGCCCGCGGACATTAAGTGGCCGTTTTCGAGATGGCATGTGGTAGCGGAATAACCACAATCCATTTCAAGTATCCATCAATCAACGGAAGAAATATTTCTCCATCTAGCGAGCTAGAGGTATGTGTACGCTTTCATGGTTTGCTGAGCAACTTCCATGAAATGAGCGCTGTTGTAGGGGTGTTCCTCTGTGTACTTTGACATGCGTCCCGGTATACTTGTCAATATTGGGCAAGTACACATGAGATCGTGCGAATCCCTTCATCCTCATAATTCCATGGTGTGTTTAGTGTGCATATTGTAAGATATGCTATTGCCGCCGAAGTGGTGGGATCGCTGCGGATCCTCAGAGCAGGCAGGTCTCCTCGGAACTTAGATGTGTGTATTAGGTAAAGTATAATGGTCTTCGTGCTTTCCAGCTGTCGGGCGATTCTTGGGATACATGGCGCTTGACTTTGTCCAGTAATATATTCTATTCAATTTCCAGAGGGGAATTCGCGTTCAACAACAGAGTTCCGCCAGGTGCAGCAGCAAATGCATCAGTTCCACAGGTGTCAGTAAGAATCTGGTGCTAGACTCATCTACAAGCGACCTAGAACTTCAGCAATTCCAGCCTCTATCCCAGGAACTTAGTAGACCTCGCAATGTTAATAGTACGTTAATAAAGCTAAACGTGGTATGTAAAGTGACTCCCCAATTGTGATGCCTTTATTCCCACAAATCAGGGTTAACAAGTGTTTGTAGTTAGTGGATAGTCCGAATACCATTCCCCATAGATAATAGTGGGATTTCCTGCCGCAGCCATGACTGTCAAACCCTCTTATTTTGGTTGTGGATAGTCCCTTCCCGCTGGCGCCAACTAGCTTGAAGCTATGGGTCGCAGATTCATTTCCTGCATTTTGTGAGATAATCCGGCTTCGAGACCTGTGGTTCAAGTGTAGCCTGAGAAGATCAAAATGCACTGGCAAGTTAGCATTAATTGTGACCAATCTGACAGCATAATAAGATTGAAATCCCTAGGGATCTACGGCAGTCGATGTTGGCGTTTGCGGGAAGAACTAATTATGGCTTACCAGATTCTGAAGAACCAAAATCATATTTGCCGCCTGCTTCTGGAACGCAACCACAACACCAACCAAAGTGGTCCACATCTGAAACCGAAATTTCTTCTCCCTCCGAGTGCCTCAGCCGAGGAAGGCCATCCAAATTTATGTCGTCTCTGCCCCCCACAACTTGACGAAGCATTGTCCCATTTGCATTTCATTTTTTAACTTTGTTAGTCAAAGCGCTACATCGCGCGATCAAACGGTGTTTAAAAAATTCCGACGAATGGATTCATACTTTTATCATGCGAACACCTCCGCTTTTCTACACGTGTCTAACTTAAGTCCATCAAGTTCATTTGGTTTACCAAAAATTTTATTTTCTCAATATTTTTCATCCCGCGGGACTTGGTAAACATTTCTTTGCACCCGTAATATACCATTGTTTCTTTGTTCCATTAAGCTTTCGTTGTTCATCTGACCACATTTAGCTGGTATATTTTCAGAAGCAAAGTATCCAATGCCGTGAGTATGGTAGCCAATTTGGGTCAGTAGCGACTGTACAAGAGTCCGTTTGGATAAATTCACGTCAGACCCAAACTGCAGCGACCTGAAAACTTCTCGTATGTAACAAGTATTACTGAATTATAATTGCAGTTTGTACTCAGAATTTACGCAGTCTGTCTGTCGCATCTTGGCCACTTTTGCTTATATTCGCACCCATTCGAAACGCTACATGGACGCTGCTTCCTTTCGCTTCCCTATACTCTTTCTTCCCTATCTAGGATCTGTTCAGTGATTGTTAGCCTGGCACGTTTGTATTTAGTCGCAATAAACGTGTATCTCGCTTACTTTTTACTTGCATTTGTACCTTTTCCATACGGCTGGCTGGTCGTGCGAATATAGACCCCGTCCATCAATTGTGCTTACACAGCACGGTTTATGTATAGAAACCGTCAAATCGTGCTGTGAATTGATTCCTGCGTTGTTTGAAGTGTTAAATCGAAAAACTAAAACTGGGCTGTATATGGCAGGCGAAATGAACTAAGCGAACATAAGTACATAAACCTCAGTGGTTCGAAGTAAACAGGTAAGAAACGGTGTAAGTAACAGTGTCTGTTGTCCACGGTAGAAGTAGCGGCCGTATGAATCATTTTTGCGCACGCAATTCCGGTTTCAGATGGTGGATACAATTAGCCTCGGAAATGGATATAATTTGCTTGTAGAAGCCTTCAGATAGTGAGCAGATGACTGAAGTCATTCTGATAAGCCGTACAGACACAATCAAGGATGCGCGACGTGATTCAGCGGTTTGAAGACCTCATATACCGCCGTAAAACCAAGTGGGATGAGCTCGCGATTCCTCTGGGATAAGCGCCTCGTAGTACATGCAACCCAGGAGCACAAGTACTGATAAGCGAGTATTGAACGAATCAATGAGGTCAGTCTCTCTTTCAATGGTTTGGTAAGCAATGGCTTTTTGTGCTAAACGATGTTCAAGCAGGCCGAGAAATAGCTTTTCTTCACAGCATCTTTCAAGCGTTATCTGCAGAACCAGTTTAAAATGTCAAATGTATAGACAGCTCTGTGTTAAGAGCAATGCACCTAACTGACTTTCGGTTGTGTTCCTTCAAATGATGCATGTTAAAGTTATCAGGGTAACCTTTATTCCTAGGGCGTCGCTGATTCTCTGGCTCTTAACTGACCGTATCCAGAACGCAAATGCTGTGCGCCCTGAAGGCGAGAGAAGTAATTAATCTCTTGTGCTGTAGAACTATTGTGTTGTGGAAGTTTGTGTATTGCCAAGTCCACGTATGCTTTCCGTGTACCTTTCTGCCGCAAGATCTGTCCGAGTTAAGGATAGCGTATGCTCCCAGAAAAAGTGATCTTTGTCCGAACTGGTATTTACAGATAAAGTAGAGAGTTTCCTATGCGACACTGAGATCTTTCAGAAACCGTGCCGCATAGTTTTCGGATTCGCAAAGCATGAATGTGTCGTCATCATTCTGGGTGTACGTTTTAGATACACTGATGTACGTTCTATGTGGGCCATGTTCCAGTTTCGGCATAAATATACCATCCAGCAGCCCCAAAGTAGGTTCCATGACCACTCAACAGTCAGATGGAACATTCCGCTACTTAGGGGGAATTAATTAGTTAACTTACAATGAAGTAGTACCTCATATAGCAAATTATCAGGAAATTGCCGAGTCAGCTCGCGCATGTAATCCAACGTTTCGAACAGTACAATGTTTGTAAACAGAGATTGGGTTTCAATGAATTTTATCCTCTAGTTAAAATGGTTGAGGGCAGATACCCTATGAATGAATCCAAAGGCTTCACCCACGCAATAAGCGCTAACATAGTCTAGGC